CGATACAATAAGTAAGACTTAAGCAGTATCATATATAATTCAGTTGGATAACCACCAATACTAAAGGGAACTGCACAGACTTTTTTGCAGTTTGGAACTTTTCACCAGTGAACATCTAATAGTCACATATAGGATTAGGTCTATAACGATATGGTCGTTTTACGCTTTCTTTTTGTTAGGAATCTGAGGTCAGATTACAATCAAATTTAACTTATAAAGTGTAAACTTGTCTATTTAATTTAAGGTGCCAAATAAATGAACGATAATATTTTGCTAAGATATTCACTCATTCCATTGATAAATTTGAACAATGAACAGTATAGGTAGTCTTCTATAACTAGGAATAAAGAAACTTTTCATCTTTGATATATACTACTATCGATTAAATAGTAGAATAAATATATTTGCAAACTTTTATTGTTGACATTTACCCCGATAAGGGACATTGTAGTCTAAAATAGTCAAGTATTTTAAAGAAAAAAAGGTGAAGCTTACAAGTTTTAATTTTACATCATTCTCCAATTTATTAAGTTTATTTTGTAAACCATTTGTACTGATCTGTAATTTGTTTTGTTGATCTTCTGTTAATATATTTGGTTGATCATCATAAGTTTTAATATGACTCAATTTTTCTTTTAATGAATTCAATTCTTGCTGTTTATTATAAATAGATTGTATACGATTTTGTAATGTTTGTTGTTGATTTGTTAGCAGAATCGGTTTTTCATCTAAATACTTCCCACTTATTGCTATAGGTTCATTAAGTAATTGGATTGCTTCATTAGTTATCCATACCTAAATTATTGATAGAATATACATATATTCATTTGTTAGTTAGTACACGTTTAAGTTAGAGAAAATATACTATAAAAAATATTTAACAAATAAATACAGATATTAATTATTTTGAATAGATTAATGGTAATAGCTGTGATTGAAGTGGCAATCAACATAAGTTTAAATGTTATGAAATGTGGTTCATTATATTGAGATTGTGAAAATATCTTGTTGATGAATTCCGTAAAACACTAAATTCATGTTCAACACCTTTTGACCAGAATAGATATAGCCAGTTGAACTGTATTGTTCAAATCGTTATGTAGTAACGTAAAGCTTGTAACATATTATTTTGATCAGATAGCATTAAATAAATTGGCCTCATAAAATGAGGCATTTGACTAAATATTAGATTCTGTCAACACTACGAATCATATAATACAATATTAATCGTAAAACAGTGCCTTAATAATTTGAACTACTATCTAGACAAACTAGATCTAGCAGACAATTAACCAGATTTTATTATGTGTAACAAATCAACTATTTGAAATGATCTGTAATCTTAGTGATACAAAGTGTAAATAAAGTACATCTGGTGACTTTTTCAAAGATGTATCTTTCCTATAATGATCATATATATATAATTTTAATGAAAGACTGATACATTCATTTACTTCTAATTGTTCCAACTGTTCAGATAAGAGAAATTCTTTATTGGCTCTTGATTTTAATTGGTGCTGTTGTGCTGTCACAGCGTTTTGTAATAAATTCATTTGATTTATGCATAAATCTATAGTTTTAGAATCCATTGGAAGTGACGATGAATTTAACTTATTATTTTCTTTTAAATCTTGTAATTCTCTTTGTTTGACTTTTAATTCTTCTGACATAGACTATAATTAATAGGAAATTTTTTATTGATGATAAGAAGGATGATGATTAAATTAGACTAATATTGGAAAGGAAGAAATTATTGAAAAAGATGAACGATAAAGTAGTTTGTGGATAATTTTTAATTTCGAAAGCCGTTGACGTCAGTTGAGCAACTAGAAAAATCTAGGGAAATATTCTACTACAAAGCTTCTCAAAGATACACGATCTTCATTCCGTTTAAAAATATTCTGAAATTTCTACGTGTCTATTAGCAAGTTTATTTTGCAATCACCTCATCAAAATCTCATAAAACACTGTTGCAGCTTCAAACTATTGTATCCTAACTCATTACTTGAATGGTATTTTGTGAACTTTAAAATTATTGAGTTTATTCATGTATGAAGTGAGTCAAATAACCAAACGAGTTTCAGATAAGGAGGGAATAACCGTTTACCAGTTAGTTTCAATTTGTAATAGTTATGCACATAATCATTAACTATTCATTGTTAAATAAACCGTGTTGTTGACATAATCAGAATGCTGACCCAGTTCAATGTAAAATATAAATGGTTGTATTTTTTATATTCTTTTCCCATCGACCATTTTTAATGAACCATATCTAATTTGAAATAGTTTGTTTTAAATTCTAGCTTGAGGTCTTTTTTCTCACAAATTTGGTTAGATGGTAAAAATTGGAGTTTCTCTAACATACATATTAAACAATTTTCTTATCATTTCACATTTGTATTACTGAAATACAAATGTTTGAGTTTGGAACAACAAATTTAAGTGTTAAACTTTACTGACAATAATGATAATAACTTACTTCTAAGTTTTGTAAATCACTTTCAATTTGCTTTGTCTCTGGTATATTTGTATGTGATACACTGGAACTTAACAGATCATGAGATATATTCTGTAATTGTTTATTCTTCACCGATACCCATTGATTTAATTCATCTAGTTTATTTATTGGACTCAATTCAGATTTGCTGGACAATGATGGTGAATGTTCAGTCTTCCCATTTTCACGTTTATGATATTCATTTATTAATTGATCATATGAATGTTGAAGGTCTAAAAGCTAGAATCACAGTCAACAAAATTAGACAGATGTTATTAGTACTTAAATTTATAGCTGAGAGTAATCAGAATTTTGGTTGTACTTTAAACAGCTCATGGATTACAATGTACATGTTTCCATGCTGTCTAATGCATTTCTATGTGTGTGTGTGTGCAAAAAAAAGAGGAGATCAATAAGTTCTCAATTCATAATTTGACTTGAAGTCTATCATTCCCTGACACAGTTATATAAATGGATATAGATGAAATTCATAAATTTACAGAACGATCACCTTAAACAAGAATAATTATTAATGGTGATCTGATTTAACAGTTACTAGTAGAGCTGGTTTAAAACAGATCATCTAATCAAGCGTTAAAAAATAAATTGAATCCTAATAACTTCTTATCATTTCTGATTACCGATAAGATAGATAATTTGATACTGAACAAAATGAGTTCCATACATATTTACCTATCGTAAATAACAGAAAAACAAATACTTATTTTCACTGAAGATAACTATGGTGTGAGTGTCTGAAGTGTATCTATGATAGCCGATTTCTATGGCGACACCTATTCGTTTTAACTACGCATAGAGGATAAGTGGTTTTAAAGGACTAAAATATATGGCATATTAATCAGACAAGATGTTCAAATAAAACATATTGTTAACAAACTGCTGCATAGTTAGAGTCTTACATTACTGGATTAGGCACTTAACTTTCAACTAGTCAGTCATTGGCTTAAATTTTACGAATTTTAGTACGCTTCGAAGAAATAGTTGTAGCCTCTTAGTTTAGTATATGAATAGGTAAACAGTTGGCCGTACAGGTCCTAAATTAAAAATGTACATTCCTGACAATGTTTGATAATGATTAGCGAAATGTCAGCCTATGTTTAGGTTATTATACTGAAGTGTTAGAATCTAAATTAACATTGTTATTCTAACTGAGAATAGATAATAATACTTCTCTACATAAATGCTAACATTTGAAAATTTTAAGCTTTAGGAATATATGTGTTCACTACTCATCCAGCAGAATCTCAACTGAATTTAATATCTGTTCAGAGAAAATTTAAAAAATGACGAAAATAACAGGGAACTGAATGTCAACCTGATAATCAATTTAAGTAATAAATTAAAGGGTACAACTTAATACAACATAATGTTGTATTTATTTAACAATGAATTATCCTTTCAAATTCACTTAGTGTTGTTTCACTCGTATATTCCCATTGTTATTTAGGACTGTAATTGATCAGTCTCTTGTTGGCATATGTGTATACTGTGCGTATTGCCTCGATATAGCCTTCAGTCACAAGCTTTTTAAGCAAAGATGGATAGTAGCTAGCAGTGGATTCAAGGTGGCTAAGTGGATAACGCGATGGCATTTGCAGCGAACGGTACTGTGTTCGAGTCACAGAGTGGACATCAACTCTGGGATGAAGGTATATTCATCCGACGAGTCCCAAATAGGACGAAACGCGCGTCCTGGATTTCACTGCTAAGTTGAATAAAAATTCGTGTAGAAATAAATGATCTCGAAATTTGGAGGACGACAAAGACATTATTATAAAAGCTAACCAGCTTATATACATCTTATTATATTCCAGGTTAGATAGTGAAAGTTAATCTCTAAAGATTTGTTAGCTCTAATTGTTAATATAAGCTGTTTCTATATAAAGTTATTTATTTTTATATACTGAAAAGTCTAGTAAATGAATATGTGTTACTTTAAAAGACAATTGAATATGAAGTAATAATAATTTGAATTAGGAATATCATACTTACTTTCGTTCTCATATTACATTGATCTGTTGGATTTATAGAATGTTCACATAATTGTGTACATAATTGTTCAGCTTTTTCTAAAACTGGTTTTATTTCTTCAATTTTCTTATTTATCTCATTCAAATCATTTGTTTTCTCAACAGGTTCTTTCACTGGACTGCTAAAATTATAATTAGTGTAATATATCATCAATTGTTTTTAAATAATAATCAATCATGAACAAGTTTAAAACTTGGATTAATTTTAATTTGGTTAGTTATTCTCTGAAGAAGTGGATTACACTAAGTCACGAAACGTCAGAAAATCTAATTTTTCCACTTATTGGGATATTATAAATATATTATTTATTTATAAACTTTCTGTCCTTAAAATATACCACTAACAACGTTAAATAAGCTTTTTATAGAACTTTAATATTTTTTGTCATTACACTTATAGATTTCAGTTTAAGTGTCTAGCAATTACATTAACAAAAGGATAACATTTCGAAGGTAGTACAAAGTATACTTGACTTATCTCACAATATAAGACAGCAGCGCAGTATCTCAAACTGCTTGAAGTTAGACGTGTACGTAATTGAATTCAGCCTAGGTGGTCTGGAGATTAAACATTTCCGGGAAACCAGAAGTCCTGGGTTCGATCACTTGTGGTGGGGTCACGAATACTAATTGTAGAAGAGTTCTGTATTAGGACAAAACAGCTGGTCGGTAGTTTATAGTTTTCCATGGTGATCTAACTAAGATCAGTTCATAGTTTGAACTATGAAAATTCTACATTATTAACAAGGCCCCTCAAATCCCAAGTATTTCTGTATCTTGTAAATAACTTGTTTTTAACTTCATATAATTTATTCTAATAACAATTAGAAAGGAATTAGACGGTATTTTTGCTTACCATTCCATTTTTGTTTTAATTGTTTTCAATTGTGAATCTAATTGTTGCACTAATTGTTCATAATTAGTTTTAGGTTCAATTTTACTCATTGTTTCACTTTCCCATTTTGACAATTCGTTTACTAATTGATTGAAATCATTGCGAACACGTTCATTTGTAGAATTGAAGTCTAATTGATTTATTAAAGATTCAGGAATTAAATTTTTGAAATTTTGTACTAAATGATTAAATTTATTTAATTCTGGAACAACACTGTCCAATTCTTGACGAAGTGTTGAAATCTAATGAAAAGAAACAAAATAGATGAATATATAATCGAATGTGGTGTTAATTGTAATATGAAATTACCAGTTAAATAAGACAGTTTTTTTATCGCAAGTTTTATAAATAAACAATATCCCACTAATTATATGCTTAACACCAGAAAACTTTAATTCTCTATTGATTTAATAAACCTAATGTTACAGATTACGTCGTCACACATTGTTCATTTATGTAACTGATCAAATTAAAGTGTCAAATGGCAATAGCCAGAAGTGAAATTACAAGTATATATATGGTTATGTAACTGTTCAAATACAAAGAATTGCTAATAAATATCTGAAATTTCTGATTTTTGCCGTGATAGCAGTAAAGTAAATTTTCTGTTGAAGAGTTTCAACTACTTATTGTTTCATAGGATATCAGTTATATTTTTACCAATATGAAATGTATACAGAATGATCTAAAGTATAATAACTATGTCAAATGATGAATCCGAACCCAAATATCTCAGTTCAGTATAGATGATGCAATTGATTTGCCTTTTCCTCTGTTAACTCGTACTGGTAAATACTGCCGTATACGATAAAGGACTGGCCTCGACGAACGACCTACATAACTACCTCCACAGCAGTAGGTCAACTGGTAGACAAATACTGAATTCGTCAGTCCATCAGTATAATTTAGCAAAGAACAATATAGATTGATCAGGTCATCTATTCTGAAACATGTAGTAGATATAGGACATTCAGCTTCGGATTAATCGCTTGATATTATTTATAATAAATATACACAAGTAATACAACTGACTTGATTCAGATGACTTTCACTTCCCATGGTATTATCTGCAAGGCATTTGTCATGTACATTATGTATTCGATTCGCTTTTTGTTGTAGTTTTCGTGTGAGATCAATATCAAGTTTATGGAATTCGTTTAAATCACGTTGTAACTTGTTTAAATCTTGCTGCGATTTATCATTCAATACAACCGCTTCATTCCACTGTTGTTCAAGAGAATGCATTGAATTTCTTAATTCTACAGCACCTGGCATATGATCACGATTGTGTAAAACTTGTGTAAAACTTTGACGAACAATTTCAAGTTTTGGTATTTGTTCGTTGAACTGAGCACGATATCTAGATTTAAAATAAACCAAGCAGGAGTAAATAATAGTTAGGAAGAACACATCGATTTATGTAGTTAAGTACGTCGTTTATAGAGTAGGAATTTGGTGGTTCTTTACACAAATGAAATAGATGAGGTATTTCAATTTTTGTTTGACTTTAAATTGAAAATTTAGAAATAATTCCAGTGTAGTTAGTAAAATGTCTCTGTTTAATTATTCATGGGAATATAATTATTTAAGGAAGGAGAAACTATTAACATATAAGGTGAACAAAATTAATACAATTATCTCTTACTTATATTGTATTAGCAGTAGCTATCTCTCATCAAATATCTACTACGAAAATTACTCACGATATCTAATTATCAGATCCGACATGCTTCGAAAATAGTCTGGTGAAAGTCTGAATATGTATTTATTATTTCCACCTTAGGCAAATTGTGTGAAATACAATACTAAGTGACATGGGGAAACAGAGAACATTCAAGCGTATTAACAGCGTTCATTAGTTAAATTATCACGAAAAACATCAGATGGCAGTTTCACTTTTGAACGTTGAGTTCATCTTCTATGTAGTTAGAGCAAGGAGGAAGGAGAATAGTTTGTTAACAGATAAGTACAGACAATAATAAAGGATGTCCACGTGGTTTTCATATGCAAATAGAGACTTTTCAATGAAGCTGTGAAGATCAACAGCGAAAGGTACAATTTTTAAAAGTAACCAATACCCTTTTAGTAAGAGATGACCACAGTAAGCCAGGAACCTACTAGATAACGGCTTGGTGTTTACGACGAACAAGTCTAGTTCCTACTTATGCAGAATGAAGATCTAAACAGTATGAAGCAGATGTATGCTCTTGACAAGTTCGCAGAAGGATTATATATTTCCTAGGTTCCAATTCTATAACGATGAAGAAAAATATAAAGGCCAAAAATAAGGCATGTTTTAATGAGTTTGACAATGTTATGTGTTAAAAATGGTGAGCGTTTGCATCTGTTACGATATATATATATACTTCAAAAGTTGTAATATATATATTGTAGTATATATATATATCGTAACAGATGCAAACGCTCACCATTTTTAACATATAACATTGTCAAACTCATTAAAACATGCCTTATTTTTGGCCTTTGTAAAATATTATAATTATGGACTTATAACTGTAGAGCCTGATGATGAAGTTATTGAAAACAATTGTTCGCTCAAATATTCTTCGTTTTTGAATATTCTATGGGGATTTTTAAACTGCAAAAATATAAAGCTTGAGAAACTATTCTTTTGCAAACTAGTCTGGATATTTTTTAATGAGCATTTACCAAAGAGTTGTTTCATGCCACTACTAAATAGTTCAAAATTGCATGCTAATTTTTATTGATTAACTATTATTATATCATTTACAGTTCACAAGGTACATTCGTTGTAATGTTGCAGTTTGAGTTAAGCTTGATAACGATTTAAATGAAAACAATATTTCTAACTTATACATGCTGTGTCAAAAATGTTCTGGTTGCATATCTATTGAAATCTATGTTTAATAATTCGAAATATTTTCCTGTTTTACTAACATAACCATCAGAGTTATGAGTTTAAGAAATAAAAGTACATATGATTTATTATTCGGTGTTTGAGTGTTTTTAATTGGTGGCTATAGATTGTAAAATGAATACAATACAGTTTTGAATAGAATCCGGATTAATATTATACACTGCAAATAAAACAATAATCTCCACCAGAGTGATCATCAACTTTCAAATGCAGGTACATCCAGCCGCTGAGTCCCAAACAGGACGAAACGCGCGTCAAACTGGATTCCACTACTAGCCACTATCCATCTTTGCTCATAATACTTGTAAATTAAGGCAATATCGAGGCAATACACACAGTATGCACATATGCCAATAAGAGACTGATCAATTGCAGTCCTAAACATCAATGGGAAGATTCAAGTAAAACAATACTAAGTGAATTATATACAATGAAGTTGAAGAAAACTATGAATAATAAACAGTTTTATTATTTATAATACTAACTTACTTTTTTAATTCATTAACAGCTTGATTTACAGATTGTACAGTAGAAATATTTCTATTAATATTATTCACTGTTTTTACATAATCACCAAGCCAATTTATTAATTCTAAACGTTTCTCTTCAAAATTATTTAAATTCATTATCAAAGATTTAAATTCATTTCGTCGTTCATTTAAACAATTACCTAATTGATCATAACGTTCGTGTAGTTCATCTAATTCACGATTGACTTCATTAATTTCTTTATTATGTGTAAATGTTGACAACAACAAAAACAAATAAACATGGGAAATAAAAGTTTGTCACGTTTAAAGAAAATATTAGAAAAATGAATAACTGATTAGTATATATATATGTGATTGTAAATCATATTTCATTAGTTAAGATCATGAGTCAATTGAGGCTAGAGCACCGTGGAAAACCTGGAAGCACTGAACGGCCTATTGTGGTACTCCTCGGCAGTGCGCAGTGCTTCGCGAGATTCGAACTCACAATATGTTCTTCATGGTTGTCTAGCTTCAGTTGACTCATGATCTCAACTATTGAAATTACTATAACATCCACAAAAACCCTTCTGATGTAAATCATATCTTAAAACAAGTTTGTTACAGAGTTCTCTTGATTTTTCCTTACTATGATGAATTAATTATTGTAAAACAAATTTTGTGGAATATGAATTCATTACCTCATCTTCTCTATCTATTTAAAGAAAATTTATGCAAATTCGATTAGAGTGTGCAGAACTATTATTATACAAGTATTATTGCATACTTAAATATATTCATTGTTTATGAGTATAAAAAAATGATTATCTAACATGCATTGGTATCGTAGAAGTAGGAGATCCTAGTTTAAATTTCTTGTATTTCCATTCCTTGAGAGACAAGTAGTTTTATTAAAATGGATATGGAATGAATTAAATGCGTTATTCGTTCCTTGAGTTGACTATTATACCTTTCACTGTATATCAGCTACCTAATCATAAGTCCTTTGGTTAACGTTTAGGAAACCGATATATAATTGAAAACTTCTCAAATCCTATAAATTGTATGTTTATTTTCAGCATATTGAGAAAGGATGGAAATGTTCACATACTTAGTGACTTTTTTCAAGCCACATTAATACATGTTCAAAAGAATTTAGGGTTAAAGTTACCGAATTACATCCTCCTTTATCTGTTTACAAGAAACCAATGAGGAATACATTGTGTCATTAAATATAATGAAGACGTTTCAACTCATTCGTTCATGAATATTGATCTAGAAAGGGATACAGCATTAGAAATCTTACGAAACCGACTGTCTAGTGCTTAGAAAAAGGTTCTCTTATTCATTTGAGCTACGAATTGTGTTTTACAGCCGACATCTGATACAAAGATGTGTCAAGGATAAAATGTTGCTCTGGGTCACCTCGACGTAAATATATCAATTTACTTGCTCTTGTGGAGTTTGCCACAATTGTTTTATAATGTGTAATTTTTCTAAAAGCATATCCAAGCACTATTCACTATAGTTATCGAAAGGTGAATGCCAATCAGTCAAGAGCTTGATTGTTGAACATCTAATAAATTCTAGTCATCTATCGACATCAGATTCTTCATTCAACAGTGTTCGCAAAGTAAGACAAAGAGGTTCGAAGGAAAGCCGAATGAAAAACTTTCACATGCCTGAGGCTATGGCAATTCATTAATTCATGCCTGATCTTTATGCTCAGAAGTTATATACTCAGTCGCATAGTTTATCATGGTCATAATAACCCACCATATTTTGTCAGTTATTTTTTAACATTTGTTTGCCTTTCTTCTTTATCTTTCTATATTTTTCAAGTGAACAGTTATGCTTCAAACCTCTTGTTTATCTTATTTGGACCTGTATTTTTTTCATGTTTTTGACTTCCTTATTATCGTCAAGTCAATACTCTTTCATATCTCGTTTTTGTATGCTATCTCATTATTATTATCAGTATGGATTGTGTAGATTGTTAAATTTCATTAAAATCATGAACCGATATAAGTTAGACAACCATTAAAAACCTGGAAGCACTGGATGGTTGTTTCGTCTTGGTATAGAACTTCTCGGCAGTGTGCATCTACAATCCCGTATGTGAAAATCGAATCCAGGACCTTCGGTCTCGCGCGCGAACGCTTAACCTATAGACTATTTGAGCTGGCATCCAATGGTTGGGCAAGATCATGAGTCAGTCGGTTTTTAATGTTGATCTAGCTCAGATAGACTTATTAGTTCAACTATTTTGATTCTATCTAATACCTAATTATCATCTAGATGATCTTTTGACCTTAGTGTTCAAGATTATTTAAAGCCATTGCACTAATTAGTTAAGGAGTATGGACCATCATTTTTATTATGTAATCACTTATTTGGCATTTGATCTGCAATGATCTTTACAAGAATAGACTGAAGACAAGTTGGACACTATTTAAATATAGGTTAATGTTAATTGTTATATCTTTTATCATGCTTAAAAGTAATAATACGGAGGCAAATATATAAATCAAATATTTGTAATCAAAATAATTCATCATTAACATATCGGTCAATAAATTTTAACCAAATAAAGTAAGGTGTGTTTATCTATTACTAACAATCATTACACATGTTTTACAATAAAACGATTTATTTAAATAAATGAATTTGGTTACTAGAAGGATGCACTTATTCATGAATATCACAAACTTTTATCAATGACCATGATAATGATATCGACAACAACAATAATAATAATAACAACAACAACAAAAAATGATGATTAGATATGAGACGTTATATATCAAAATCATGACAATGTTTCACACAAAAGAATTAACTATAACCGACTGATATTTAAACAAATTTACAATGGTATATATTTAAGAGAATCTTGAATAAATAACTAAACTACAGTGAGATCGTATTTATCACCAGAATCAAAGCTGAAATGTACATGAATAGGCAGATACATCAGAGATATAATATTTGACAATAATTAAAAGAAATAACATTTGAACTGATAAAATGTTATATACACATATACAAAATAATCATATGCATTAGGAATCAAGCACATCAAGCATTAAGGCGCCGTTATTAAATGTTATGTGATATTTTATTGACAATAAATTACTAATTGTTAGAAGTTTCAGATTTAAAAACCCTGAATCTAATTTACGTAGTGATTGGCTATTGTTTGGAATGCGTACGATTAATTTTGAGTGAACTGGTGTTCATTGTAAGATGTAAACTAGTATCATGTTGATGAATTAGCATTCAGCGACACCAGAAGGATGATAACCTATGATGTCTGAAAACGTATCTACTTTTTTTATAGTAAGGTTAGTTAGTATTTAGTGTTAAGGATTAAATTAGTTAATGATTTAAAACAAACTACTGACTATAAGTAAATTTAATTACTCAGATGAAAAAAGTGCAATATCATACGTTTTAAAAGAGTAAAATCAGAAACATAAAGATATCTCTATTAACCAGTGTGTACATCAGACCTGAATATGATTTTAATCAATAAGCTCACATTACTAATAAATCAAAGAAAAGTGAACAAATGCTACAGATTAGCTTGGGATTTTTCAGCGGTGTGTATTCACAACTCAATTAGAAACATGGAACGTAGGACTCCACTTCGAAGGTATGAAAGTTATGGTATTCATCACGATACTGAAGGTTCTATGTTCACTTAGGCATACGGTCGTTGTTGAACGCTATTGATAAACTAGGAACTAGGTTAAAACAGTTATTCGACGTACTATGGTTCTTGACATAAAGTGTATTGACTCTGTTTCTAGATGTTTTAAAAATTGGACATCTTTAAAGTCAAATAGAAAAAAACCAACGCTTTAAGCAAATTGTTGCAAAAGACGATTGGTGAATAAAAATAAAACTGAAAGATCAATTATGAAGTAGAATGTAAACAGAAACAAAGCGACAAACATGCACAAAATATTTAGTTGTTATTTTGTTACATGCAAATAACACTCTCGTTTGTTTATATTTGTTTGCATATATATATTAATGCATAATGCTTGGAAAGCTTAGCTTACCATGTAGATTACACATAGGATCGGCACTGGAGATGCCACTTGATCCACTGCTAGCCATTGGACTTAATACATTCATTAATTTATTGTCTTTTGATTGTTTATAGGCAGCAGAAGTGGATACACGTGGTACTGCTGTTGAGTTATAGTACATACACACATATATATGTTGGGATAAAGTGAATGTTTAAAAAATTGAAATTTTCAGAGAATATTATGGGTCATATAAATTGTATAGATGAACTAGACAGATAATTATGAATAACTATAGAACGAAGTACGAAACAGTATGGCTTATGTAATATTGATGAAATTTGTTCATTAACTAAAGCCTAGCAATGTACTGAATCCGAGTAGCTTATACTCAATGTTGTTTTCATTACGATTCAATTTGCATTACCATGGAGTGTGTATACACAATTTAACTTTGTTCGGACTAAACTATAATGATAGTTCATGAAATCCTTTATTTATTTATTCTTACTAATTGAAGTCGCAATACGTCATTCTAATTCCTTAATTAGATAATAACTTATTCACTTAAATTCTCAAACAGAAACAAACTTTACGTTAAAAATATACATCAGGATATGATTTTCGATATTTGATTTACAATTTAATTATTGAGATGTGATATGATGAACATGAGCTACAAATTTACATATAGTCATTTTGACAAACTATTATCGTTTTAATTGGACGCCTGAAGGATTTAAGATATAAATGATTTAATAGACCGTCACCTTTAACCGCTTAACATTCCAATATCAATTATATAATGAAATTCATACTAGCGAACATAACTCCAAAATAATATTTTGAAAAGTACTGGTTTATATAAAGATTCTTTGTAATAATAATAATAATAATAATAATAATAATAATAATAATAATAATAGTGTTTTAAAATATGTTTATCCAATTTCGTATTTTTCTTTACATCAACTGTGAAGATGATTAAATTCCTTCGTTTCTCTAAAGTTACTGCGGATGCTATCATATTATGTGATGATGAACACACTGAACAAGCTAATGTTATATCACAGTTAAGGATAGTGAGCTTATTGACTAAATAAAATTGTAATTAGGCAACTGTTCCAAATTTGACTTAAAGAGCTTCCGTCATTGTGTTGTTGAATAAACATCAATTGGCGGGACTGTAGTAGTACAGTACAGGGTTTAACCAATAAGTAAGTTTTGTATACCAAATAAGCAACAAAGATTTACTGGAAAACATTTTGTAGATTATGATAGTGTGGTAAGCTTTAAATTACCTTCATTTTATGTTAACCTAATCTAAATATTAGCCCCTGGTAGCTTGGTGATTGAAGTGACTTAGCGCCTGCAGTTCGCCTGCTGATAGTTCACTGTTTAGATCGATAAAGTATGCCCTTAAGAAATTCGGAAACATCTACTGTTTGATTCTTCATTTAAAACTAAATTTGCTTACCATATCTCATTATTTTTCCGAAAAGGTAAAGCTGCACCTCCTCAAACACAAATTAGCCTAATTGACTATATGAGAGTGCTAAGTCGAAATTATATCATTACAATTTATATTTAATAAATGTTCCCATCTTTTTATGAGTCATTGGAAATCTAATTAAACTTGGAATTTACAATTCCATGTGTGACTTGTTTATGAACATCTTAATATAACTTTCCCTTAATAAACTATACAGTAGTTAAAACATTTAATCATTTGATTTGTTACGTGATGAATGTGAAGAACTATTACTATAGATATACTGCTCGTTTGCCTTAATTGTTCCGTTTAACATTTGATAAACCCTTATTGATTTAAGTTTTCAACTTTATCTTAGATACTCAGTAAATCAAGAAATATCAGTATTTTTTATAACTACTCATATGATGTAAATATAATATGAAAATAAGCTGAAATTGCATTCGTATAAATATTTAATTAACATTTTCAAAGTACCTGAAGAAGCAGAAATATGAGCATTATTTGATGAAGTTGTTCCACGTCCGAAATTCTTATCAATTCCACTTGATGTATGTAATAAAGTATCATAAGCAGAACCTAATTGGTCCACTTCATCTAAATGTTGTTTGATTGTCTCTCGGAGTGAATATAATTCATTTAATTTATCCATTTGTTGTTTTACCGAATTCAAATTTAAAGTGATAGGTGATGATAAAGTAGTTAAACGTCCATCGGCAGTTAACAACATTTCTTGTACTTGATTACGTGCTTGTGCATAGGAATTATTAAATGACTCTCTTGCTTTTAAATCATCTTCACGTGTATTTATTAAATGAAGTAATTGTGACCAACGATTATTCAAATTATTCATATTGTCTTTCATCAATTTACCATTACCATCACTTTCAGGGAGTTTAGTTAATAAAGCATTAATGGATTGTTGTATATTATCTAACTGTAGTTGACGATTTGGTATAAGCATCTAATCGTGTTCAATATTCGTAATGAAAGGAAAATTTGGAAAAAAATGTATTAGTTAGTATTCGTCGATTCAGTTTTACTATGCAATTCTAGAAATAACAGTTATTAATCGAAACGTCTTAAAAACTGATCTCTTGTCTGAAGATAATTTCAAAGACCTGAAGTCCATGAATGAAATAGTCTTATTACATAACGATGCTGACAAAAGGCACTTTTCTGAATATTTTAAGTGATAATAAATCTTAACTTTCGAAGTTTAAGTAACGGTATGGATCGATATGTAGTCTGACAATTAACAGTGAAGTTGGTAATCAGGCTGACAACTTAACCTACTATCGAATTCTATCAGGTTTGATGAATTTGTTACCTTATAAAGTCTGGTTATAGAGGTAAAATGTTTGGTTAAATTTTATTAGACAATAATAATCTTGGTCAAAGTAATATGTCCGAATAATTAATATAATATGAAGTAGCGTGAATTACCTTAAACTATGTATCACTACATATGATATGTATCTTGAATTGAAGACTATGAGTATTGTGAAATATGAGCAAAAAAGAACTGGTGAAAGTAAATCTATTAACATAAAACTTGAAAAAGCACAGCAGAATAAAATGAAACTAGTAGCTCACTTTAATTGACTGAAGTTTATGCTTCAAATAGTTTTCTGGTAGATGAGCAGTTGTTTGACAATTTAACTGATTTCCAACTTCATCAAGCCATATATTAAATTCGTTAATATCATTATCATACTGTGTCAACTGATTTTGCAATGTATCCAATTGTGAAATTCGTGAAAGAACATCATCCTTCAAAGTTTCAAGTCTGTCGAAAAAATAGTAATGATAGTAATAATATGTAGGATAGGTGAAAATTGTAAAAAATTATTATACTACTGAATGGATACAAATATTTGTAATATTTGAAAATTTATCAAAAGAGCAATAATAACAGAAGATTGCTAGTCATTGAATGACTATGGGAAAACCTATTAACATGATGTAAATTATTTAAAATTCAAGATGTAAAAAATATATAATGAAGTTCATTAACAAATTTATTAAGACCCCTCAGTAGTGTGGATCTACGATCTCGCCTGTGGGATTCGAACCCAGGACCTTCAGTATCGCACACGAACGCTTAACCTCTAGACCGATGAGCTGAAAGTACTATGGTTATGCAAAACATTACAGCTAGTTGCCATCTGGATCAATTTGAATTTAATTAATGGTGTCCTTAGTATGCAAGGAGATCGGTGGATAGAGTTACTTGGTGAAATAAGTACTTACCCTTTATGTTGTTTTAAAAAGAAACAACTTTTATATTCTAGTCACCCGTTATACTATATTTCCTTGTCCTGATTATAGTTCCTTACCTTTATCAATAATTTTAATGTAAGACTAGGTTTTATATTGATTCATTTACTAAGGTACTAATAAAAATTTACGTTGTATTACAATCTTCTTAAATTTCAATTATGTAGGTAAACGGTTTGATGTAAATAATAATAATTAGTTTATTAATGAAACATCCTCCATTAACGACAATCAATTCTATGGAAATTCAATGAGATAAATTGTATTCTAAATTCTAGGTAACTAAATTAAAACTATTGTTTATCGTAATGAAAGTTAGGGTTGTCGGAGTAAAATTCTACCTTCAAACAATAAAATCTCGATGAAATGACTCAAATTTTTAATTTTAGTTAACCTAGTAATCAGATATTGAAACATTTTTTGACAGTATCATAGAATAAAACAAAATATTTGAATAATTACAATATTGAAGAATAAAATCAAATACAATCATCATACCGATTATCTAAAATATCAGTTTGTTTCAATTCTGATTGTGTTAATCTTAATTTATTAGGATCAATTGTTTTAACTTGTTCTATTGTTTGATTTAAACGATTTCTTAATATTTGTGAAGCTGATTGGATAGAATTGATTTGTGCTAAAATTTCATTTAATTTATTCATATCTAAAGGAAATTCAATTGATTGTTTTTTAATATCATCCATTTTATGATCAGTATAATCATTAGATAATTGATCACCAATTCGATTTGTTTGATTTAAAAATTCATTTAAACATTCTTGTGTTGTTTGATTGGTTAATAAATATTTCATAAATTGTTTTTGTAATTTTTCACATTGATCAATTAATTGATTTTGATAATTTAAAGCATTATCTAATGGTTGATTCATTGCATTCATTGAATTATTTGTAATTAGATTAGCTTCGGTAAATTTCTTTTCAATTAAATCTAATTCAACAGATTTCAGATTCTGAGAAGAGAAGAAACATGACAGGAAAAAAAAAGCGAAATAAAATGGATAAATTAAGTGAGAATGTTTTTGTTGTTACGTTTCTTTTAGGAGGGGGTGAACGGGGAATAAGTTATAATGGTGTTATTTACTCAATTTCAGTTTAATTAACAATCAGAGTTTACTTATTGATTCCACTCTGCTTATGTTATTTTGCACATAAGTTTGACCTTCAAAATATCGTCATAGGAAACAAATCAAATACCTGAGAGAATAGGTTTGTAGAGACTGTGCACCATAAAATTAATCTCTTACACAGAATGGTTTTGATGAAGAGAACTGTTAAGATACCGTTTCAGGGTAGTTTGAAGTTCTTCATAATTGAGTAACTAGAACGACACTACTGAGAATAAGAAGTTTAAGCTTTACGGGATACTTATCAATCATCGAGTAAGAATTTTACTGGTTCAAATTTCCAGTCAACTCATGATACAGAGAAACCATAGATTCGGTTAGCCAACCAAAGTTTCCTACTCGTTCCTGTTTTTTTCATTTATATGACTGATTTTATCATGCACAAAGAATATAAATATATCAATATCGAACACTTTCTGACGATGGGCTTTTAATTCTATACGGGAAATAAATTCAAACACATCAATATACCCAAGGCAGCTTCAATCTGTATTGGAATAGTAGCAAAAGGAATTTCAAGAGTTTTAATTAAAATTAATTTAAATAATGATCCAAGATTGTTCAATCCAAGCCAATTCAGCATAGATTTCCAAGTTAACAGGATCAGTTGATCCTTGACTAATTCTATAACTGAATCTCATTTTGATTCATTTGTAAACGTTTTATTTAAGATATGAAGATATTTTCTTCACAAAATAAAAAAGAAATATTTATTCGGTCAAATTGTATTTTTAATATCTAAATAGGAATATCAGAAGGGGTTTGTGGAGATTTTAGAAATTTCACAGATTAAAATGGTGATTCAGTTGAAGCTAGACCACCATGGAAAACCTGGAAGCACTGGACGGCCGTCTCGCCCTATCACGGGATTCCTCAGCAGTGCGCATCCACGATCCCGCACCCCGCGGGATTTGAACCCGGGACCTATCAGTCTCGTGCTAAGAGCTTAGCCAACTAGACCACTGAGCCGGGACCCAATGGTGTTAATGGCTAACTTCAACCAATCCACGAAGTTGCTGAGGAGTTCCATACTAGGACGAAACGGCCGTCCAGTGCTTCCAGGTTTTCCATGGTGGTCTAGCTCCAATTGACTCATTATTTCAATCTGATAAATAGGAATAATTAAATTCACTTGGTGTGGTTTCACTTGTATCTTCCCATCAATTGAAGTCCTAAATAACAATATGAAGGTACAGGTAAAACAACACCAAGTGAATTTAAACTTCATCCTATTGCATAAGCAGGTGGCTATCAGCACTCAGTAGCTAAGTGGATAACACGATGGCGTTTGAAGCGAACGGTACTAGGTTCAAATTTCGGAGTGAACATTAACTCTGGAAGACAGGTAGATCCAGCTGACGAATCCCAAATAAGACGAAACGCAGGTCCCGGATTCCACTGCTAGCCACTATCCATCTTTGCTTGAAAAGCTTGTGTCTTAAGGAATAATTAATTGGTATCAGAAGGGGGTTTTGTAGAGATTTTAGTAATTTCAATAGTTGAGATCGTGAGTCAATTAAAGCTAGACCACCATGGAAAACCTGGAAGCAATTAACGGCCGTTTCGTCGTATTGTGGGACTCTTCAGCAGTGCGCACTCACGATCCCGCCTTGCAGGGTTCGAACCCAGGACCTACTGGTCTCACGCGCAAGCTCTTAACCACTAAGCCACTGAGCTGGCATTCAACGGTGTTAATGTCTAACTTCAACTAATCCACGAAATTGAGTGACACACCCACCACTGTCACCAGTGAGTTACTTACAACTAACCCGGTTGAATTCCACTGTCCACTGCTTCTCATTAGAACTCCAAGATACACATCTTGAAGCCAGTCGCTAGTGATTGATTGAAATAACAAGATTATAAAATAAAATTAAATAAATTTACTACCATATAAATGATTAACTTATAAATCTTACTTTTAGATCATTTTCAGTTTTATTAAGATCACCTTGTAATGTGTATAATTTAGTTAATCGTTCTTGACTAAGTTTTTTAATTTTATTCATTGTTAAAGTATTTAATTCATCAGATCGAAGAAGACTTTTTTGTATTATATTCAATTGTAATTTAGTTTTATCTAATTGATGAATTGATTCAGATAAATGTTTTTCATATTGTTTATATAGAATATTAATTTCTGTAAGATATGTTGATTGAATTTCTAAACGACCAATTAAATGTAAAAGACGATTATTTGCTTCTTTTACTGTATATTCTATTCTATCTTCTAATTCTATATTATTTCTTTGAATTTTATCTTCATATTGTTTACAATTTAAGCCAGTGAAATGATTCAATTTGATATTATATGTTTTCTATTATTAGAAAAACAAATAACAGAGAAGACAATAGTGAAAAGTTGGAGAGTTAAGAAAAGATGAAGTTTATATTGTAGAATTGATGAACAAATTACATTGTATCTCAATAGTTGAAATCATGAGTCAATTGAAGCTAGACCACCATGGAAAACCTGGAAGCACTGCACGGCCGTTTCGTCCTAGTATGGGACTCTTCAGCAGTGAGTATCCACGATCCCGCCCACTGCGAGATTCGAACACAGAACCTATCAGTATCTATTTCTTACTTATGGATTACATGATTAATAACTAGAAAACATAGACATTATATTAAAATAATATGACTTGAAATTGAATTGTATGATGTAGATACATGTATACTCTATCTGTTTGCAAATTTTGCACTCTATTATCATTTCATATGAATTATTATTTTTAAATCCTACTTTTTATTATGAATTTAAATAATGGATTGATTTTAATTAGACAATCAGTGAAGAATTAGCAAGTATCGGATATTTGTTTCATTCGAGTATACGATTTGTCAGCAATACTCATCCATAACTTCATTTGATATTGAATCTAGAATCTTCGGGTTTCGTAGCTAGAGCTTAGTCTCTCAATCACTGAGTTGATATCCAATAACTTAAATGATTAGTTTCAATCAAATCTCATTAGGTTGTTTTTGACTAGAATTGGTATTATTAATTTCATATTTAAGCTTTTTGTCTTTTTAATCACCTTATGTTGTTATTATACAAACTATATCAACCTGGACTGGTGTATATTTTAATCGAATCCTATTAATTTATTATTTCCCTTACTAAGTTACCTAATTTGCTTATGATTGGAGAAATGATAAATGGGAAGAAATGTTTGAAATATATTGAGTGCTTTAACCATTCAACCTCTTACCCATTCACAACTAAAGTAGAGTTTTTAAATAATTTTATTTATGAATTAACATTGTACTTACCTTACTATCAGCGTAACGATTAACAGATGCAATGAATTTTTGTTTTACACTTGGCAATGTACTAATAACGTTATTATGCGATGAATTTGATTCACTTAAAGCTGCTTTTATTCGTAAAATACATGAATCTATTTCATCTGGATGATTAATTGTATTTAGTTTATTCGACAGTTGATTTTCTCCAGTTGTAGTAGTAGTAGTATTTACGGATGGTATGTTAACAAGTAAAACAGAATCTAGGTTTTCTAATAGATTACGAAGACTTTGTAATTTATAAGTAAGATGTTCTAATGAATCTAAACTATGAAGTAAAATTCGAACTCGACCCTCAGCTTCAGTTTGTAGCTTGAAATGAGAAGAAACAAGGAAAAAATCTACATTAAACTTGGATAATATTTTATTACACTGATTACTCATAGAATAGGAACTAATGTCATAGTTACTTAGACTATTGTGTTGGTTGAATTTTATAGATCAGATTGAAATCTGGTCCCTAATCCATGTGACTCAATATCACATGCGCTATAAGTTTTGAGTAAGGTTGTTGGATTCAATAAGTAGAAAAGCTTGGTCTAGATGGTACTTGTCATCAACGCGCATTTACAATCTTGAAGAAACTGATAATATCTATGAAATTCAAACCCGCGTTTATGAATAATAGACGTCTTGAATGTTACTGATAATGGACAAACATGGTTTTCTTACAACTGACCTTATACTCAGAATATCATTCAAAATTTAATGAAATAATAAACTCAACTTACATCTTCTAAACGTGTTCGCAGTTCTTGACACTTTACTTCTAATTGTTTCCAGATAGATTCTGGTTGGTTAGTATGACGTAAAGTTTCAATAGCTTGTTCAGCTTGAAATAATACAGATCGACTTGAAGATTGACGAGTACGAATTTTATTTAAAATTTCCTGTAATAATAAACATACGTATATACAGTTTATAATTAATAAATAATGGCTATTGTTATCGCAAAGACCACACATGCAAAACTGTCAGTTAATTGATACAAAGATACAAAAAACACTAAGAATTACGTGTTGTTATTTACTCAAGTGGTGGTTACTCTGATAGTTATGCTTTGTGGTAAATCACCAAGTCAATAAATAGGCGAGACTGTTGATATAAGGTAATAAATAACTAAGGATATAAACCCAACTAAAAATACGAAGACGGTTTTGCACCTTAGGAATCAGCTTATCTTATGAGTGAGATTATTTTTGATTGCGAGCAATTACTTAACATTTTTGAACATATCTTGTCATTTGATTTTAAAAATTTACAAAGCCAGTGGAATTAAATCATACAATAATTAAATATAAGAGCAGATTAGAAATCAGTATTATTAATTACTTCTGATATTCCCCTTTATTTGTCATTTCCTAGTGGTTTTTCAACTATTAGCCTCCAAATGCCCTGGTACGGCCGAGGGTGAGATGAGTCAGCTCTCTCTCTCTCTCTCGAAATGCTCTCACATGGCCATGCGTATACACCCATTGCTAGAGAAGTTCTACACACTGCCTTCTCGTGGCATCATTGTTGTTTACGAAATTGAGAGGACGGAAAGCGAATGTCCGGTGCTTTAACAGGGTTGGTGAATATGGAGGATCCACCTAGGGGAGTTTGAAAACCCTGATTCCAAACCAACTGCGCACATGGGCTCCAGTATCGTGAAGGAACAAATGGTGTATGAACCAATAATTTGTCACTGGCTATCATGGGATTGCATCTTCTGAAGTTGCTTCGCTGCTTTGTGGACCAGACGTTTAGGTCGAAGGCTCCTTGTATGTTCCTCTAAGAAAACCAGCTGCTTCTGCCTGGGCACCCGGACAGTATCACAGCCTATACATAAATCAAGTGATTTGTGTGGTGCATATGTATTCGATGTTTCTTTGTACCAATATTTATGTGTTCAAATAAATATAAATAAATCAGCCAGTAAAAAGAACTATTTTTTATAAGTAAGCTGTGAATAAAAAAACCGAATGACCTAATATTTTTTTTGATTGGTGAGAACATATGAGCAACTGTACGCATAACAGAAAATGATAGTTATATAAAAATTTGTACAAACTTACTTGGTGATCATCCAGGAGGTGGCGGTTTAAATTATCGTCTAAAGTCAAATTCCCCATTTGTAAAAGTTTTAATTCTAAACCAGTTATCCATGATGTTTCTTCATCCAAAGCAGTGGAAAGCTGAGATATAAGCTTTCTTGTAGTTTCTGATTCTGCAGACTATAGATATTTAGTTTTGATTGAGAATTATTTATATGTTATAATCGAACCAATTTTATTATGTTCCGTATAACAAAACAATAAAGAAAATATTTTTGTTTTAACGATGACAAATTCAAAGCTGATAAATATTTAGTATGATAATATAATTTCGATGTTACTTATAATGATAGTGGTAGTAAATACGAAATAGGGTTTATATATTGTAACAGAAAATAACAATTATTTTTGATGAAATATAGACTTCAGAAAGCCAAATAAAGACGGACGACTATCTAATAAGACAGAAAGTTGTATCCCGGGTTCTTTCACGAATGGTTATGTAATCGATATGTGCATTAAAAAATGTCACCCAATTAACACTAACAACTAATAACTCATGACAGAAATTTTTTAAATTATTACCAATTGACTGTGAACAAGATTTTTGGTTTATTTGTTTCTGAAGAGAAAGAGACGTGATACAACGAATTCACAGTATTCTGAAAATACTGTCGTTCTTGTTTTGTTTATATATGTGAAGTAGATAGGGTTTTGTCAGAAGATATTTAAGCCCTCAAACAAGCAATAATCTTTGCAATGCAAGTTCAGAAATATAATAGCAAAGTGAAAAACCAGTATTATTCACTTCTAGACTTTCTAACCAGTTATTATTTAGGTGGAACGACTGGTACATTTCATTCACATTAGGATGATTATTTATTTGAAAGTCAACATCAATTTCTCAGTGATACTTGATTTGTATAGACCATTATTTTTCTAAAACTGTTGTCTGTAAAAGCGGTAATGAAGTCTACAAAAAGACATGTAATTCATGAGAAAGGGCAATAAGTAATATATGTGCTTCCGAGTTCAAAAAATGAATTGAATTTTCAAATCATTGACAAAAGCGGTAGGTAAAGCTAATCGGGCAATAACAGTCTCATCACTGAAATTAAAACGTAGATAGCAGGGAATTTATGCTGAGATTTTAATATTTTTTACTGAAAATCCTCGATTTTGTTGAGTTATGTAATAATGAGTAAAACTATTATTATTATTATTATTATTATTATTATTATTATTATTATTATTATCGGTATCACCATTAATATCAGTGTTATTTCTTTCCAAAAACACTCAGTTGTGTTAACTACTACCCAAGATATTAATGGCAAAGTTGTAAGATTAGGTTCTTTTTGATATTATCAGTATGCTTATACTATTCAGTCAATACAGAATAGTATAAATATTTTGTGCTTTGAATTCACCAACTTTAAGAATATTAGCAATCATTCTGTTCAGCACAAATGAAACAATCACTTTTCAATTCTGTTTAAATGTCTCTCGTTTTGGGTGTCAAAATGTGATGGGTTATATAAGTGTCTAGTTAAACACACACACTTCTGTAGTAAATATATTTTGTTTATGACGGATTTGATCATTTATACAGCAAAAATCAAATAATAGTAAGCGTATAGATTAATAATTTCATAAATATTGCTCCTAAATGACACCATTTAATAACACTCCTATGATACATAACTAGTCGGTTGGTCGGTAATTTTTTCATGTAAAATCTGTTCTGATTTGAGGTATTGGTTTCAGCTAGTGAACTAGGATTCGTTTACCAACTTTCATTATCCGAGTCATGTTATCGCCTTCACAAAAGATACAAGGAATTGCAAATAGTTTTTCAGATTAGTAAAACAATATAACCACCATCAGCAACAAACGATGTACACACGCTATGAATAACATGAATTCGTCAGTCCCCACGAATGAACATACGATAAGGTACTAATACAAAAAATTAGTATTGGATAGAACTCCAAGAATAATTAGGACCAGGATCGCATAAGAGCGTTAGATATTAAAATGCCTTTTAAATCGAAATCCAGAATGATAAATTTCAAAGAAGAGGAATATCAATCATAGAAACAAGTATCTTAGTGCCACCAGGAAGTGAGTAATTGATTTTAAGACTATATAAGTCAGTTCAAATCTATATGATACGTCAGTATTGTTAGTTTCCATGTGAAAAGTCTAACTTACACCATCATATACGCCAGTCAGCAAATAATTAAAGGTTTACCATGTGAGAGATATGAAAAAATTAGAACATTTGTCACTTAATGAAGGTTAGATATTAATGAATACAAAGTGGTTGTAAGTCATTTATACTGAGGTAATCCAATAATGATTAATAAATTTTTAAGCTCTCTATAAACTATCAAATAAAACTTTAAACAAAAGACAATTCAATAATTCGGAAAAAACCAAAATATTTCTTCACTTTAAACAAGCGTAAAATAAAACTTTACCAGTGATTTCTAAATCACTGATATTTAAAAAAGATATTTAGATATAAAGAAAAAACAGTGGTTGTTACAAACCACGGTTAACCAGAGATGCAATTTAAAAACGGTGCATTGGAAAACCGTTTTAATTTATATCCTACGACAGCAACAATGATATTGATTGCAGACTTGAATACAAAAGCTTGATTAAGAGAATGAAGATGATTTTGAAATTCATACATATGACGTAAATTAAAATGCAGTATGAAATAATCATAAATCTATTCAGTTGTGATGGAAATCCCACATCAAAAACAAAACATTCTTATACATGCATAAGTAAAACGAAATAAAAAGGTTAAATAAAGCCTGACATAAGTAAAGATTTAAAAGTATGAAACGATTCAACAAATTAGCATGTAAGACCCTGCTAAAGAAAAACGAAGGAAAACATTGGGAGCAAGAACAACAAATAGAAAACATTGACAAAATTAAAGAACAAAAATATACCGGAAACGAACAGAGAAGAAAATAAGATAATATGCAGAAAGGTAAACCAATACAAAAAATCAGGTTACAATAAGATAAAAAACGTATATTAAACGATAAACCTAAGACAGGGAATAAAAAACGACATACCAAACACTTCAAAAAATTAAGTTATATAAAAAACTTACAGAATCATGAAACTCATTAGTATCACGACAAGAAACCAAAGGAGCAGAAGTGGAATCGCATTTACACGAGAGTCGATAATCAGAGAAAGTTGCATCACGATCATTCATTCTCCAAACTGTAAGAAACATGTCCGATGGGGGAGTCACTGACTCCAGTTGATCGCTCTTCAAGTCCTCCACACTTGCACCAACCTCATCCACACACAATGAATCACCCGTGCCACCGACAGATTTCAACTCAGACAACCTGCCCACACCAACATCTACAACTGGCTCCGAAGCACTCGTCGACTCACACACAACACCTCCTGGTCTCGAGGACGTCGACTCCATCGCCAGAGCAATCAAACCTACAGGCGCCAACAAACCTGTCAACATCATTCTACCAAGACTCTCGAGACGTCCGGAACTAGGATCGCGAACCAACGACCGCTCACCCGATATAAGACCACTGTTCACAGCCTGTGACAACGTCAACACCTCGCCACTAGACGGATCACGAACTAGTCCAGACTTTGTGTCAACAAGACCCGCTTCAATCGCCTCACGTAACTGAAGTCCACGCTGGTCAGCCACAACAGACACTTCTCCATACCTAACACCATCTGACGACAGCATGTCCGAATCCAAACCACTGTCCACACCTCGTCTCTCTGTCATGTCCGACAACAACTCGGATACACTCGTCGAACCCACACCCATCACAACACCATCTCTGCTCGACGACAAAACATCCTCACTCGTCTGCATCGCTCGCCTCTTCACATCAACGTCATCCACATACACACCGGATACACCGTACTCAGAAATCGTCTCTGATGACACAACACCCTCAGATTCATCACCGCCTCTGTGCACTGGTGTCGCGTCACGACCGACACTCGTCTCACCACGTTCACCCACTCTCACATCGGTCATCATCAAGTCGGATGGACGAGTCACTGACTCCAGTTGATCGCTCTTCAAGTCCGCCACACTTGCACCAACCTCATCCACACACAATGAATCACCCGTGCCACCGACAGATCTCAACTCAGACAACCTGCCCACACCAACATCTACAACTGGCTCCGAAGCACTCGTCGACTCACACACAACACCTCCTGGTCTCGAGGACGTCGACTCCATCGCCAGAGCAATCAAACCTACAGGCGCCAACAAACCTGTCAACATCATTCTACCAAGACTCTCGAGACGTCCGGAACTAGGATCGCGAACCAACGACCGCTCACCCGATATAAGACCACTGTTCACAGCCTGTGACAACGTCAACACCTCGCCACTAGACGGATCACGAACTAGTCCAGACTTTGTGTCAACAAGACCCGCTTCAATCGCCTCACGTAACTGAAGTCCACGCTGGTCAGCCACAACAGACACTTCTCCATACCTAACACCATCTGACGACAGCATGTCCGAATCCAAACCACTGTCCACACCTCGTCTCTCTGTCATGTCCGACAACAACTCGGATACACTCGTCGAACCCACACCCATCACAACACCATCTCTGCTCGACGACAAAACATCCTCACTCGTCTGCATCGCTCGCCTCTTCACATCAACGTCATCCACATACACACCGGATACACCGTACTCAGAAATCGTCTCTGATGACACAACACCCTCAGATTCATCACCGCCTCTGTGCACTGGTGTCGCGTCACGACCGACACTCGTCTCACCACGTTCACCCACTCTCACATCGGTCATCATCAAGTCGGATGGACGAGTCACTGACTCCAGTTGATCGCTCTTCAAGTCCGCCACACTTGCACCAACCTCATCCACACACAATGAATCACCCGTGCCACCGACAGATCTCAACTCAGACAACCTGCCCACACCAACATCTACAACTGGCTCCGAAGCACTCGTCGACTCACACACAACACCTCCTGGTCTCGAGGACGTCGACTCCATCGCCAGAGCAATCAAACCTACAGGCGCCAACAAACCTGTCAACATCATTCTACCAAGACTCTCGAGACGTCCGGAACTAGGATCGCGAACCAACGACCACTCACCCGATATAAGACCACTGTTCACAGCCTGTGACAACGTCAACACCTCGCCACTAGACGGATCACGAACTAGTCCAGACTTTGTGTCAACAAGACCCGCTTCAATCGCCTCACGTAACTGAAGTCCACGCTGGTCAGCCACAACAGACACTTCTCCATACCTAACACCATCTGACGACAGCATGTCCGAATCCAAACCACTGTCCACACCTCGTCTCTCTGTCATGTCCGACAACAACTCGGATACACTCGTCGAACCCACACCCATCACAACACCATCTCTGCTCGACGACAAAACATCCTCACTCGTCTGCATCGCTCGCCTCTTCACATCAACGTCATCCACATACACACCGGATACACCGTACTCAGAAATCGTCTCTGATGACACAACACCCTCAGATTCATCACCGCCTCTGTGCACTGGTGTCGCGTCACGACCGACACTCGTCTCACCACGTTCACCCACTCTCACATCGGTCATCATCAAGTCGGATGGACGAGTCACTGACTCCAGTTGATCGCTCTTCAAGTCCGCCACACTTGCACCAACCTCATCCACACACAATGAATCACCCGTGCCACCGACAGATCTCAACTCAGACAACCTGCCCACACCAACATCTACAACTGGCTCCGAAGCACTCGTCGACTCACACACAACACCTCCTGGTCTCGAGGACGTCGACTCCATCGCCAGAGCAATCAAACCTACAGGCGCCAACAAACCTGTCAACATCATTCTACCAAGACTCTCGAGACGTCCGGAACTAGGATCGCGAACCAACGACCGCTCACCCGATATAAGACCACTGTTCACAGCCTGTGACAACGTCAACACCTCGCCACTAGACGGATCACGAACTAGTCCAGACTTTGTGTCAACAAGACCCGCTTCAATCGCCTCACGTAACTGAAGTCCACGCTGGTCAGCCACAACAGACACTTCTCCATACCTAACACCATCTGACGACAGCATGTCCGAATCCAAACCACTGTCCACACCTCGTCTCTCTGTCATGTCCGACAACAACTCGGATACACTCGTCGAACCCACACCCATCACAACACCATCTCTGCTCGACGACAAAACATCCTCACTCGTCTGCATCGCTCGCCTCTTCACATCAACGTCATCCACATACACACCGGATACACCGTACTCAGAAATCGTCTCTGATGACACAACACCCTCAGATTCATCACCGCCTCTGTGCACTGGTGTCGCGTCACGACCGACACTCGTCTCACCACGTTCACCCACTCTCACATCGGTCATCATCAAGTCGGATGGACGAGTCACTGACTCCAGTTGATCGCTCTTCAAGTCCGCCACACTTGCACCAACCTCATCCACACACAATGAATCACCCGTGCCACCGACAGATCTCAACTCAGACAACCTGCCCACACCAACATCTACAACTGGCTCCGAAGCACTCGTCGACTCACACACAACACCTCCTGGTCTCGAGGACGTCGACTCCATCGCCAGAGCAATCAAACCTACAGGCGCCAACAAACCTGTCAACATCATTCTACCAAGACTCTCGAGACGTCCGGAACTAGGATCGCGAACCAACGACCGCTCACCCGATATAAGACCACTGTTCACAGCCTGTGACAACGTCAACACCTCGCCACTAGACGGATCACGAACTAGTCCAGACTTTGTGTCAACAAGACCCGCTTCAATCGCCTCACGTAACTGAAGTCCACGCTGGTCAGCCACAACAGACACTTCTCCATACCTAACACCATCTGACGACAGCATGTCCGAATCCAAACCACTGTCCACACCTCGTCTCTCTGTCATGTCCGACAACAACTCGGATACACTCGTCGAACCCACACCCATCACAACACCATCTCTGCTCGACGACAAAACATCCTCACTCGTCTGCATCGCTCGCCTCTTCACATCAACGTCATCCACATACACACCGGATACACCGTACTCAGAAATCGTCTCTGATGACACAACACCCTCAGATTCATCACCGCCTCTGTGCACTGGTGTCGCGTCACGACCGACACTCGTCTCACCACGTTCACCCACTCTCACATCGGTCATCATCAAGTCGGATGGACGAGTCACTGACTCCAGTTGATCGCTCTTCAAGTCCGCCACACTTGCACCAACCTCATCCACACACAATGAATCACCCGTGCCACCGACAGATCTCAACTCAGACAACCTGCCCACACCAACATCTACAACTGGCTCCGAAGCACTCGTCGACTCACACACAACACCTCCTGGTCTCGAGGACGTCGACTCCATCGCCAGAGCAATCAAACCTACAGGCGCCAACAAACCTGTCAACATCATTCTACCAAGACTCTCGAGACGTCCGGAACTAGGATCGCGAACCAACGACCGCTCACCCGATATAAGACCACTGTTCACAGCCTGTGACAACGTCAACACCTCGCCACTAGACGGATCACGAACTAGTCCAGACTTTGTGTCAACAAGACCCGCTTCAATCGCCTCACGTAACTGAAGTCCACGCTGGTCAGCCACAACAGACACTTCTCCATACCTAACACCATCTGACGACAGCATGTCCGAATCCAAACCACTGTCCACACCTCGTCTCTCTGTCATGTCCGACAACAACTCGGATACACTCGTCGAACCCACACCCATCACAACACCATCTCTGCTCGACGACAAAACATCCTCACTCGTCTGCATCGCTCGCCTCTTCACATCAACGTCATCCACATACACACCGGATACACCGTACTCAGAAATCGTCTCTGATGACACAACACCCTCAGATTCATCACCGCCTCTGTGCACTGGTGTCGCGTCACGACCGACACTCGTCTCACCACGTTCACCCACTCTCACATCGGTCATCATCAAGTCGGATGGACGAGTCACTGACTCCAGTTGATCGCTCTTCAAGTCCGCCACACTTGCACCAACCTCATCCACACACAATGAATCACCCGTGCCACCGACAGATCTCAACTCAGACAACCTGCCCACACCAACATCTACAACTGGCTCCGAAGCACTCGTCGACTCACACACAACACCTCCTGGTCTCGAGGACGTCGACTCCATCGCCAGAGCAATCAAACCTACAGGCGCCAACAAACCTGTCAACATCATTCTACCAAGACTCTCGAGACGTCCGGAACTAGGATCGCGAACCAACGACCGCTCACCCGATATAAGACCACTGTTCACAGCCTGTGACAACGTCAACACCTCGCCACTAGACGGATCACGAACTAGTCCAGACTTTGTGTCAACAAGACCCGCTTCAATCGCCTCACGTAACTGAAGTCCACGCTGGTCAGCCACAACAGACACTTCTCCATACCTAACACCATCTGACGACAGCATGTCCGAATCCAAACCACTGTCCACACCTCGTCTCTCTGTCATGTCCGACAACAACTCGGATACACTCGTCGAACCCACACCCATCACAACACCATCTCTGCTCGACGACAAAACATCCTCACTCGTCTGCATCGCTCGCCTCTTCACATCAACGTCATCCACATACACACCGGATACACCGTACTCAGAAATCGTCTCTGATGACACAACACCCTCAGATTCATCACCGCCTCTGTGCACTGGTGTCGCGTCACGACCGACACTCGTCTCACCACGTTCACCCACTCTCACATCGGTCATCATCAAGTCGGATGGACGAGTCACTGACTCCAGTTGATCGCTCTTCAAGTCCGCCACACTTGCACCAACCTCATCCACACACAATGAATCACCCGTGCCACCGACAGATCTCAACTCAGACAACCTGCCCACACCAACATCTACAACTGGCTCCGAAGCACTCGTCGACTCACACACAACACCTCCTGGTCTCGAGGACGTCGACTCCATCGCCAGAGCAATCAAACCTACAGGCGCCAACAAACCTGTCAACATCATTCTACCAAGACTCTCGAGACGTCCGGAACTAGGATCGCGAACCAACGACCGCTCACCCGATATAAGACCACTGTTCACAGCCTGTGACAACGTCAACACCTCGCCACTAGACGGATCACGAACTAGTCCAGACTTTGTGTCAACAAGACCCGCTTCAATCGCCTCACGTAACTGAAGTCCACGCTGGTCAGCCACAACAGACACTTCTCCATACCTAACACCATCTGACGACAGCATGTCCGAATCCAAACCACTGTCCACACCTCGTCTCTCTGTCATGTCCGACAACAACTCGGATACACTCGTCGAACCCACACCCATCACAACACCATCTCTGCTCGACGACAAAACATCCTCACTCGTCTGCATCGCTCGCCTCTTCACATCAACGTCATCCACATACACACCGGATACACCGTACTCAGAAATCGTCTCTGATGACACAACACCCTCAGATTCATCACCGCCTCTGTGCACTGGTGTCGCGTCACGACCGACACTCGTCTCACCACGTTCACCCACTCTCACATCGGTCATCATCAAGTCGGATGGACGAGTCACTGACTCCAGTTGATCGCTCTTCAAGTCCGCCACACTTGCACCAACCTCATCCACACACAATGAATCACCCGTGCCACCGACAGATCTCAACTCAGACAACCTGCCCACACCAACATCTACAACTGGCTCCGAAGCACTCGTCGACTCACACACAACACCTCCTGGTCTCGAGGACGTCGACTCCATCGCCAGAGCAATCAAACCTACAGGCGCCAACAAACCTGTCAACATCATTCTACCAAGACTCTCGAGACGTCCGGAACTAGGATCGCGAACCAACGACCGCTCACCCGATATAAGACCACTGTTCACAGCCTGTGACAACGTCAACACCTCGCCACTAGACGGATCACGAACTAGTCCAGACTTTGTGTCAACAAGACCCGCTTCAATCGCCTCACGTAACTGAAGTCCACGCTGGTCAGCCACAACAGACACTTCTCCATACCTAACACCATCTGACGACAGCATGTCCGAATCCAAACCACTGTCCACACCTCGTCTCTCTGTCATGTCCGACAACAACTCGGATACACTCGTCGAACCCACACCCATCACAACACCATCTCTGCTCGACGACAAAACATCCTCACTCGTCTGCATCGCTCGCCTCTTCACATCAACGTCATCCACATACACACCGGATACACCGTACTCAGAAATCGTCTCTGATGACACAACACCCTCAGATTCATCACCGCCTCTGTGCACTGGTGTCGCGTCACGACCGACACTCGTCTCACCACGTTCACCCACTCTCACATCGGTCATCATCAAGTCGGATGGACGAGTCACTGACTCCAGTTGATCGCTCTTCAAGTCCGCCACACTTGCACCAACCTCATCCACACACAATGAATCACCCGTGCCACCGACAGATCTCAACTCAGACAACCTGCCCACACCAACATCTACAACTGGCTCCGAAGCACTCGTCGACTCACACACAACACCTCCTGGTCTCGAGGACGTCGACTCCATCGCCAGAGCAATCAAACCTACAGGCGCCAACAAACCTGTCAACATCATTCTACCAAGACTCTCGAGACGTCCGGAACTAGGATCGCGAACCAACGACCGCTCACCCGATATAAGACCACTGTTCACAGCCTGTGACAACGTCAACACCTCGCCACTAGACGGATCACGAACTAGTCCAGACTTTGTGTCAACAAGACCCGCTTCAATCGCCTCACGTAACTGAAGTCCACGCTGGTCAGCCACAACAGACACTTCTCCATACCTAACACCATCTGACGACAGCATGTCCGAATCCAAACCACTGTCCACACCTCGTCTCTCTGTCATGTCCGACAACAACTCGGATACACTCGTCGAACCCACACCCATCACAACACCATCTCTGCTCGACGACAAAACATCCTCACTCGTCTGCATCGCTCGCCTCTTCACATCAACGTCATCCACATACACACCGGATACACCGTACTCAGAAATCGTCTCTGATGACACAACACCCTCAGATTCATCACCGCCTCTGTGCACTGGTGTCGCGTCACGACCGACACTCGTCTCACCACGTTCACCCACTCTCACATCGGTCATCATCAAGTCGGATGGACGAGTCACTGACTCCAGTTGATCGCTCTTCAAGTCCGCCACACTTGCACCAACCTCATCCACACACAATGAATCACCCGTGCCACCGACAGATCTCAACTCAGACAACCTGCCCACACCAACATCTACAACTGGCTCCGAAGCACTCGTCGACTCACACACAACACCTCCTGGTCTCGAGGACGTCGACTCCATCGCCAGAGCAATCAAACCTACAGGCGCCAACAAACCTGTCAACATCATTCTACCAAGACTCTCGAGACGTCCGGAACTAGGATCGCGAACCAACGACCGCTCACCCGATATAAGACCACTGTTCACAGCCTGTGACAACGTCAACACCTCGCCACTAGACGGATCACGAACTAGTCCAGACTTTGTGTCAACAAGACCCGCTTCAATCGCCTCACGTAACTGAAGTCCACGCTGGTCAGCCACAACAGACACTTCTCCATACCTAACACCATCTGACGACAGCATGTCCGAATCCAAACCACTGTCCACACCTCGTCTCTCTGTCATGTCCGACAACAACTCGGATACACTCGTCGAACCCCCACTGTTTTCTTGTGTATTTGTTTTAGGCTGGGTTTCGCGGTTTTGGTCTTTATGTTTTATTTTCTTTCTTCGGATATTTTCGGTGTTTTCTGTATCGGTTTCGTACTTTTTATATTGTGCGTTTGGTTTTGTTTGAAATATTTTATCGTATAATATATCTGTTCCAATTTTTTCTGTTATTCGATGTGTTGTTGCTTTTGTATTTGCCTTCGACCTCTCGTTGTTTCCGTTGTGTATATTCATTGTTTGTTTGCTGTCTGATAATTTGATCGTTTTGTTTGTTTCATACTGTCCAATTTTTTCATTTTCATTACTCCATATTATAGTTTTCTGTAACATATTTTTTCGAATGATCTCTTTATCGCTTTCGCTTAATCGTTTTTCGATTCTGACGTTCACTCTCCTTTGAACACCTGTTGAACATATTCCTGTTCTAATCAGTAGTTTCAAGAGATTTGATCTCCAGTGTTCATGTAAAGACTCTGTCGTTTCTGTTTGCATTATCAATGTTGCTGTATCAAGTATAGTTGCTAAACTATAATAAACAGGTACTTCTTGATCACCGTACACGGGATGTTCTTTCAAATTATCTTCATTATAGTGCTGAACACATACAAGCAATTGATTAGGATCAATTAACGCTTTTTCTACAGCTTCTAATAAATTAACAGTACTAGTTCTTCCACATTGTGTTCTTAGTAAACCGTGTTCAGTATCTATCCATCCTCTTTGAATAGCAGTTTCAAGAAGAATATATCGTGGTGTATATGTTGCCGATGAATTTGAAGTAATTTTAGGTGCAGGATCAGGATACTGATATCTTACTAATGATAAACTAATAGCTGGTAGTGTAGTACTGTCAACTAGACGGACAGGTTGAAGAGGATGAACTGGTGATTTCAGCTGTAAACCTAAAGAATTCCTAAAATTTGTATTCTTAACATATATAATGTTTAATTATATTTTAGTGAGGATTCCAGCAATTATAGAAATGCATGCATACAAGCAGTAAAACAGGCGAGCAAATAAGCAGACAAACGAATTGGTAGGCAAGCAGTGAAAGAAACGACACAGACGCGGGATATAAATTTAAAATAGTCAACAAGCAAAGAAGCATAAAAACAAAAAAAAATAAAAACAAAAAAAAGCAGGAACGTAGTGATGCAACAGGGGATTGATTATGTAATGCACAATGACATAGTATCAAATAGTTAACAATCATTACCATGGATAAATGATTTCGATATTTTAAATGAGTAGTATAATGATGATGATGGTGATAATGAGATGATCATGATAGAAATTCATCATCATTGTAATTTGTATTTCAATAGTAAAAATAATAATGATAATGATAGTAATAGTAATTTAAATAAACAGTCACAACGACAATAATGACACAACGCAAAAAACGGAGGAAAAAAGAGGAAAAGAAAGAAGTTTACTATTAGTTAACAGTTTTAAACAAACATCATGAGTTAATACATAAAAAATATACATATTAATTAACTAAGCAATTAGTAAATATCATATATGAAAATGTGAATGAAAATTTGGCAAGCGCTTAATTTTACATTCAAATAATTCAATTGTTTTACAGCTTGTTACTCAGATTATCGATGAGCCCATTGTGTAGCAGAAAAGATGGTACATTCGTAACTCTGATTTACTGTTAATATAAATTATCAAATAGCATTAAAAACTTGGCAATTTCTTTTCCAAAGTATTATGTACGTAATGATATTTAGTCGATTACTCAGGTTTTTTTTAGCCTAATAATATGTTTTATTTAAGTGCATCTTTCGCTAGGTTCTGGAACATAAGCCTATTTATTAATGAGAGACACTATTTTCGACTTGCAATTGCTGTCTCATTCTGTTAGTCAGGGGTTGAATAACTGTCTGAAAAAGCTTTTTATTCAAAGTCAAACTGTCGTTTAAGAGGATATAATGAGTCGTCATCTGATTTGAAAATGCAACGACATATAGGCTAGAAATTATTATTATTATCATTTTCATTTTGTTCCTTTATAGACGAATTGACGATAGTCGCACTGTTTAACTCCAACATTTCAAAGATTAATCTATTTCTTGAAAATCATCTTATGGAAGTAGAATATATAAATGAAATAGACCATTCAGTGGAAGCATATGAAAAGATTAAGGAATCTATGGTGATTTTACAGAAGTGGTCAATATACATATATTTGTAATTGTCTAAGTGCCCAGTTCGGAAAAGAAAAATATATATATACATATATCATAAAATATTTAACAAAAAATAACACTTCTAATGTCATATAAGGATGAAAATAATCATCATTGCTAAAGCTGACAAGGTAAGTAATAATAATCGTTGTTCTGGTTTAGCTAATTTTTTAAAATCTTGTTCATGTTTGCTTATGGACCGTCAAAGATTCATAAACTCAAGAATAGGACTAATGCAATTTAGGACTATTCTCAAATATCAATTGTTATATGCATACTTATACACTGTCATATTGAACATTTTTTAACGGTTCGAACAGAGATTTAAGTGACTACGTATTTTTTTTAAAAAATGGAATGAGTATTATCTATTGAACGAAATAGTGGTAAGATATAATATTGTATTGATGACATATTAGTATTTCTATTAATGTGTTGGGGTGATCCAGAAAACTTCTCGCAAAATACAAGAAAGGTTCAGGAAAAACTAAGAAGCATTTTATTCAATCAATATTCAATTGACGTTTAGCCAGAAAAATCAAGAAAGTGAAGTCACATGTAGAGTTTCTGATTGGCTGATTACCATATTGCTACTATGTTTAGTAGCATTCCAGAATTTTCGGCAAACCCAAAGACATCTAAAACACTATAAGAACCCTATATTTTCTGTACTAAAACGAAACTTTGGAGTAAAGTGCTTCTCGCACATTTTGCACCTTTTCTCTCGTGTTCAGGTCACTGTGTAGTTCTAGCTTGGGGGTTACAAGAATAGCTTAGGAACCGAATATAGCGTTCAATTAGCAAGACTTATCATTATGATAACTGTTTCAAAGTTTAATAAACATTCGAAGTTGGTATTCAGTAGATTTCGACTAAATTGTAAACTGTTCAAAACTATACTTTAATCTAACCTTTTTTACATTTGAAATAAAATATAAATATTTGAGTAGAGAATTGAAAGAATTCCTAATGTCCTTGTATGAAAAGATTTTAACATTGAAATATTCATTAATCTTAACTAATTTGTTCAATATCGTATTTTCACCTTCTGATTCTGTTTCTTATTATAAGATTCTGTTCCGTTTTTAATAATTTTCTCACTGTAACTTACTAAATTATATTCAGTTATTATGAATTATCATTCGAAAATGAACATATCTCGATAATAATGACATTAATTCGTGATGTATGCTAGTTGTTAAACTAGGTTTTATCCTAAACTTATCTATCAAAACGACTGAAAGACTTATTACCAATGAAAGCATAATATAATATATCCAGTTTTCCAGCTTAATTACTTCTTAGAATGAGAAAAAATTATTTAAAAGAGCGCTCAAGTGTTAGTATAACGCAAAGGTTGTCTGTAAATTGTAGCCCCAACTATTACACCTATATACACATGATTATAATTATTTTGAACAATCAAACATAAGATATGATAAATCTATCAGGAAACGATTAAATACATCTAGTGTATTCAAAAGAATTAATTGAAACTCGATGATTGAAGTGAATTTATAAACTGAATAGTATTTTTAGGTTAATAGGTTGATCGGTGTTATATAGACGAAATTTATGTGGATTAATTTGTCAAGTCATGATAATGTTTATTATTATTATTACTCGACAAGTTGCATAATTTAATTATATTATATATAATATTATATATCATTATTGTTTTGTTATATCCGAGCGAAGATTAAATCACGAGTAACTTCTGAGACATATCAATTGACTAATATTATCTATACATTCCTATGTTTATAACTATTCAATAATTAGATTATGTATATTTATATTCCTCTTATTATAAGCTTTATTTTGATCTATAATTTATTATTGTACGATTTACTGTGCTTAAGCTATGTTCAGTGTATTAACTACTACCTCTCATGTTCACAGCCGCTTTTTGGCTTTATTGTGTACAAATGTTATTACCTATTTTGTGGTGCGTTGCGGTCTGTTTGATATATAAACCCAGTATGTCTGAAATAAATGATTCGATTCGATTCGCATATTGGAAGATGGTACTTGTTGTTCTGGACTCAAGTGGACGGGCTAGGCGGATATAGCACCAATAAGGACGCTAGGCTGATCATACCGGTCGAACGTCATTGGTTTGGCACAGTGCTAGGATAGTACAAGTCGTATTTTGATTGGTGGATAAATCACGTGATAAAAAGCCGGACATAAAGTCATAACAGTTATCATTATCATATATTACATTTATACTTATAATAATTATGACAATCTTATCGTTTACTCTAACGCCATATGAAAACATATATATAATAGACTACTAACGAACAAAGCTAATGCTTGTTTAAATCTTATTGTAACTGGGATCTTTTGTTTTGGTACAATAATCATCTTTGTAACATAAAAGTTAGTCAGTTAAGCGAATCTATCTTAGACAGTTAAATTAATAATGACTTACAATAAAGTCTACATATAAATATACATTCTTATAAACTGTTAAAATTCTGTATAAAAGTGTAATTCTCAATAGTTCCAGTGATTTCCAATGATATCCTATTCGATGTCAAACCATAATAAAAACTAACTAGGATTTATTATGTATTTTCTTAATGTCTAATAAAGTATTTAGCAACGTAACATCAAACAGAAATATATTCACTGAATTAATCTCTACTACTTATATTAAAATATTGTTCTCATAAAAGCAAAAAGTAAATTCTCTGTTAAAACTATGTAAAAATGCTTACAAGAACCATATTAATAATTTAAAATGAGAATCACAGCAGTATATAGTGAAATTCATTTGTACTACTTGTATAAACATATATATTTCAGTGATGGTTAACAAACTGTTGTTGTCCCTGTGTTGAGTAGTTTTTGAATATTTATATAAATTGAAGTAAAACAAGAAATAAATTGTCAGTAAACGTACCTTAGTAGTTTTATTCACCTCTTGTTTACGATCACTATAGTGTTGTTCATTAGGATGTGAATATGTCGAAACTTCAGATTCCTCACTTTTTATATTGTGATTGATTTCAGATGGTGTAATCTGATTGTCTGATTTCAGTTTATATCTAGTAGAAGAATCTGTCAGTATCCTATGAGTAGGTCGATAACTTGGTGGTGTTTTACATTGTATTTGACGTTGTACATTTAATGTCGTCTGTGGTGAAATATGCATAGATTTTTGATCAGGTGAACAGATTTCTTTATTTATATTATTTTGAAGTTGTTTACTACGAAGTATAGTATGTACAGATCTTGTAAAAGTGGTAGTTTCTTCAACTGTACGTACATGAACGTGATCAAATGAACTGCCGATTAAATCAAATGGTGGTGGATTACCAACAGGCAATGCTTGTATCCAACCTTGATACAAAGCTTCTTCGATTGAATATAAATTTCCGCTTACCGGATGAGTATATGAACAATGGATAGGGTCAATAATACCAGTCCCAATTGCATCAGATACTGAAACCAAACTATTCAAATAAGGATCAAACACTCTTTCTAAGCGATATATATCATGGCGATAATGAAATACTTCCAACCAATATAAAGAATTAGATGTTCGCTGATTATTTTCCAAATGTTGTTCAGCTTGAGTAAAAACAATGCCGAAAACAAAACCTTTTGTTAATGCTTCTGGAATAGGGTAGAATTGTCCACTGATTGGATCACAAATAGTTTTTCTATGCACGTCAACACGACCTTCACGAACCATTGTATCGGTGATAGAGGCTTCAACACGTACATCATCATGTAGGTAATAGAAAGCATAAAGTACACAGTTACGTTCTTTCAGTTTAGGTATATCACAACTTTTTACTCTAGGTTTTTACGAATAGTATATTCATCTCCATCGTTTACTGTAGATTTTGAGCGTAAATTACAATGCGATGATTTACCACGTAGTCGTCCAACACCATGACAATCTAAGAATTTGATCAATTTTGATTCAGTACGACCACTGTTAGCAATAAAATCGTTTCCATTACTTAATAAATGGCCAGATGGTATGATAGGAGGTAATGTATTATTGCGTAGTTCAGCAGTATAATTGGAATCTTTTGCACTTCGTCTTTTAATAGCTAATAAGGAATCCATACTATGAGTATATCCTTTATTTGGTAAACTATTGAGATTTCCAAAAGTCTATAAAATTATTTTGTTTTAAAAATAAAACAATTATTTAAGGTTGGGTTATTTATAACAATTATTGGTTAGAATTAGTATAATACTAAGTGTAATCAAACTATTTAACGTAAATTTTCGTCATCATTAATGATTTTTGTCAACATCTATTTTAAAGTTCATACAGTAGGTGAAGAAAGGTATGAATATAAGTTAATAAGCAAACTTAGGTTTGTATAACTTATGGCGATCATTTATGAGTTTGACTTAAATACGTATCACAAACATCATTATGAATGATGATGAACGAACCATAAAACATAAATCCTCCTTTTAATTCCGTGTATTATACTTAGGTTAACCCCATTGTGCAACAGTGGTAATAAGAGCCAAATACAAACTGAGTTGGAAAAATTTATTCCAAACATTCATCTATTCAGATAGACTATAAGAAGTGAAGTATGGGCAACGGCATCCAAGTCTACTCAGTTTTATCAAACATAACTCAACACTGATAGTCAGATAGATAAAAGCAAGCTAAAGAGTGATAAACAAACAAGCAAATACACTCAAATAAAAGCACTCAGGTTTTTAAGTGAGTATTCGAAAAGGGCAGATATATGTGTACTGAGAAGCTGCTACAATGTGAACTAAATATCCGAGAGTCAAGTGCCTACATTGCTGAAGCTATAGGCTGGAAGCGACTGAAAGGTGGTTGGAGGCCGAATGATCTGTTCTAAAAGGTTAATTCGGATTGTCGACCGAACTTTATATTTTAAAGTTTTATGTACTGATCTATAAATGTAGTCTCCTTGATGAGTTTAAACAGTTATCACCCGTTACCTATCACTACTGCTTTCCTCACCTCTGATTTTCAATGCTTAATACTGTTCATAATCATTGTGTGCATTATTTACCATTTTATAAATGATTTACATTGTGCCACTGATGCACTAAATTTGTGGTCTTTCTGTGTCCATAAAGTGTGATGGTAGCAAAAACATGATCAGATTCGAATTATGTATGACAGTATAACTGTTTTAACTGCTGAGTTAGTCACTGTGATTGCCAAGTCATACATCATAAGAGCATAGTTGCAGCAGACAGTGATCATTATACTTTCGCTTTGTAAAAAACCCAAGATATCTTTCCACTCGGTCCAGTCAATATATCTGAGGTCAGTAGAGCTACTACGTTTGAGAGTTTGATATTTTTTAGGACATCAAAAGGCTAAAAGTCATCTTTAGCATTAGCAAACAGTAATCAGTGAGAATAGAGGTATAAATTACATAGTTTGTTGCTTTGTTCAGTCAACTAATCAAAATCAAACTTCTGTTGATTTTCATATGAAGTTAAAAGTATATGTGAGTTAATTTCTGGGTGAAATACTGTTAGTTACGTGAAACAAAGTACGAAAGTGTTGTGGATGCGCAGGAATAGACCAATAATTATCATGTTAAGTCCAATGGTGTCCTTGGACTTTAAATGGACATTTCCTATTGGTCGATATCTGTTTACTCGATGAATATTGTACAAAATGTTGTTTTCTATTTTATGGCACGATGTGGTATGCTTGACTGGTATATAAACAAAGTATGTTTGAAATATAATGATTCATATCTCAGAGGTTGTGACTTGTGTTCTGGACTCAACTGACTGGGCTAGACAGGGAAGCGAGACCAATAGAGACTCTGGGCCGTCCGTACGTGTTTTCCGTGTCACTGTACTGCGATCGACCAATAAATACGCTGCTTATCAAACCCTGCAGTCTCACAACTTAAATTCGTAACAGAAAGTAATTGTAAGTACTTTTAATCATTTCGAATAGATAGAATTCTGTTTACGATTCACTCATTCAGTTGTAAAAAAGAAATAGAAGTGAACACTCGTGTAAAGAACTCCTATTCTCTAAGAATCAAATAGGTTAAAAATTTCAGCAGTCTAATTTGTAATGAGAATGGATAAAAAAGCCAAAATGTTTATTACAACTTACTTCAGTAGCCGGAGGTTTCAATAATCCTTGTTTAATAGCATCATGAACATTTATAGAATACGACCGATTAGAATTACTATTGTTGTCTGATTGATGAAAAGTATTTGAGGCTGGATCAATTAATCCTTTCTCAAGAGCTTCTTCAAAAGTCGGTATTTCTGTTGGTAATTTTTTCTCAGTTATCAAACCTCGGTTTATAGCATCAGTTAATGGAATCCATTTATTTTTATACGATAAAAGACCTTTGTGATCATTTATTAAACCAACTAAAATAGCTTTATCCAATGAATACAATTTTTCTGTGTTAAATTCTTTCACTATTGAATGTTCAACATTAACTAAACCCAATGTAATAGCTGCATTTAAAGACATTGGATCTGTGTATCCTGGGAATTTGATAACACATTTCGATCCAGACTGTTTAACTAGTTGACCATTATTAAATAATTGAACTAAAGTATATGATAACTTATCTGTAGTATCTACCATAAGACTATCATGAGAGGCTTCAGAATTATTGCCGTAAATTGATATATAACCTAATTGTTGTGCTGATTCAATTGGAATACTTGGTTGTACACCATGGTATGTGAAAGATTCCAAATTGATAAGACCTTTCTTAGCAGCTTCGTTTGGATCAATCCGAGTCCCGGTACGAGGATCGAGAACATTTAAAATCTTATATAGACGAGTCTCCTTGACAGAAACCATTTCGACTGATTCATTTACTTCTGAATGAAGTGAGTGGGGTACGGATGACGTGTTACCCTGAGAGAGGAAAAAATATATGGGAGAAAAGGATGAAAGCATGTGGATGACAGTGACAGAACCCAAAAATCCAACTAGATAATCTGAGATGCCGTTGACTTAAAAATTATTTTTTATCCATGAATGATAATTAAAGTTATAACAAGACTATGGTTGAATAGAGGTCCTCGAATAATTCCTATGAATATAAAAAAGAATGAAAATAGTTGTCTGCATGAATTTTTAGACCTTATTCAGAATTCCAATTACCTATATTTTATGGAATATATAGAGTGAGGAATTATTGAAAACATCATAGGTTTGTCAATGAAATGATACTATAGTTATTGGTAGTAGGAACAGAGCACACATTAGACTAGAGAACTGCTTATTATTTATTTATTTGAACACAAATATTTGTACAAGAAAGTGCCAATATATATGCGCCACACAAAACAATGAGAATTCGAAGAGACAAAAAGGTAAGGAGCGTAAAAAAAGAGAACAATAACGAAGTGGCTGGTGTAAGGTAGTGTAGTAATAATAATAGTAATAATGAGGGAACGGAAAGGTACAATCAGAAGAAATCTTTCAGGTAAGGGAGACACAACCACTTTTTATGAAGAAAGTAAAAGAAGGTTACAGCAGGATCGCCACTGGCTTCTATTCTGAGCCATATCTGATAACGTCTCTAGCCACTGTGTAGCACCATCTCTCAGACCCCAACCAGGGAGTCGTGAAGGACCAACACAAGCCAGTCCTTTGCAGCTTTCTTTCATGCCACGACACCATGTCATGCACTGACCACCTCTCCGCTTCTTCCAACCAGTCCCAGAGTCGGCAAATAATGCACGACGTGGAATTCTCTGGGACGACATTCGGAGAACATGTCCAAGCCACCGAAGTCGGTGTTTCAAGATGGTGACACCAATTGAATTATCATCTCTGTGCCCGAACACACGATGCCGAACCTCTGCATTACTGACATGGTGTTGCCACTGAATGTCAGCAATCCTTCGGAGACAGCGATGATCGAACACAGAGAGTCGTCTAACGTCCTCAACTCGGAGAGGCCAGGTTTCACAAGCATAGAGCAAAACTGCTCTCACCGACGCGTTGTAGATCCGACCTTTTACAGCCAGACTAACATCACGAAGGCGCCAAAGGTGGCCCAGATTGGCATAAGCCGCTCTGGCTTTCACTATTCGTGCATTGATCTCATCACTCACACCCCAACCAGCACTTATGCAGCTACCCAGATACACGAACTTCTCGACTACGTCTATCTGCTCACCATCCAGGGTGAGTACAGGATTAGAATCCTGCCAGTCTTGTAGAAGTACTTTGCACTTCGAAGGTGCAAAGCACATACCATACCTACGGACACTGATTGCCAACTGATTAAGTGCGGATTGCATGCCTTGGGCATTATCGCACAGTAAGACAATATCGTCCGCATACTCAAGGTCGAGAAGTCTTTCTCCAGGCAACAGATCCACACCACCATTACTTACATTCATCAGAGCTGTTTCCAGAATGTCATCGATGGCAAAGTTGAAGAGGAATGGTGAGATTGGGCAACCCTGCCTAACCCCACTGCTCGAATGGAACAATGGAGAGAGGTGGTTGTATGCCCTCACTCTGCCTGAGGTGTTTTTATATAGGGCTTTTAGGATGTTAATAAACTTCTCAGGCACACCCTTCTTCAATAGACAATCCCAGAGAACAGTCCTGTCCAACGAATCGAAGGCAGCCCTGATGTCAAGAAACACTACGATTGTTGGCCTTTGATAAGTATGGCGGTGTTCTAACATTTGGCGGAGGGTGAAGATATGATCAATACATCCTCGACCAGAACGAAACCCAGCCTGCTCCTCGCGAGTCAATCTTTCTCGGGTTTTGAACAACCTACGAAGTATGACGGAAGCCAATAGCTTGGACGCAATCGGAAGTAGACTTATCCCCCGATAGTTGTTACAGGAACGACGTGAACCCTTTTTAAAGATAGGGACAACTATCGACTCATTCCATGACGTTGGTACACACTCTAGTTCCCAAACCTTTGTAAACAACGTCGTCAATTCCTTAGTCAAAAAGTCACCACCATCTTTAAAAAGAGCCGGAGGTAAGTCATCTGGGCCAGGTGATTTGTAACGCTTCAAGAGTTGGAGTTCCTTGCGGACTTCCTCCTCATTTGGTGGATCAGTCGTCACCGGCCATGGAGGGCAGGACAGTCTGACCGATGTTGCCGGAGCAGCAGGCCAGTTGAACTGCCCTTCGAAAAATTCTGCCCATCGTCCAAGACGTCGATGGATGTTAGTGATTGGCATCCCATCATCCTCGCAGATTGTTTCACTCACACCAGACTTCTTGCTGCCAGTGGCTCGGATGAGCTGGAAGAGCTTCCGGTAGTTACCAGATGCAGCTGCTGCTTCCAGCTCATTAGCACGCATCGACCACCAGGCTTCTCGGTCCTTACGCAAGCTTTGCCCAATTTCCTTACGTAACATCCTTCGTTTATGGTCAAACTCACGGTCACCCGGAGTAGACCGACGGGCTTCAATGAGTTGTAAGGAACCAGAAGAAACCCAGTGCTTAAAAGCGGGACGTTTCGCAAACCCACAACTGACTGTTCCCGCCATTTTCATGGCGTCATGCAATTGCAACCAATGCTCATCTATACTTTTCGGTGGAGTGGTAGCTAGCCTAGAGGCTAGCTCGGTTCGATACTTACTTGCAACAGAAGTTGCAACCAGCTTGCTAACATCAATCCGTTGGTGGCGGTCACTTCGTTGTCCACTGAAAAGTAAGGCAAGATTGGCGCAGACCAAGGCATGGTCAGAGTCCAGATAGGTACTCCAAAAGGAGCGGCAGTCTTGTACACAACCACGCCAGCGGTAGCTGATCGCGATGTGATCAATCTGAGTCCAGGCTTGAGATGCAGAGGGAGGACGCCAGGTGGCACATCGGCGATGACTGTGCCGAAAGTTAGTGCTAGCCAGAAACAGGTTGTGGTCTGTGCAAAGTTGCAGTAGACGGTCCCCGTTATCTGACCTGCGACCAACGAGTCCCCATCGGCCACCTAAACGACTCTCTTCTGTGCCTAGACGCCCGACCTGAGCATTCAAGTCTCCGGCTAGTACTACAATATCTGTCGAACGCACTTTCTGGAGAACAGATAACTGGTGGTAAAACTCATCCTTGATTGCATCCGGGCTGCAATCTGTCGGGGCATAGGCGGAGATGACGAAAAGACATCGTTTCTCACGCCGATTTCTTCTCACTTTGATGGAACTTTCTAATCTAACAGCACATAACCGACTGTTAATGGGGATCCAATCGACTAGTGCTGCCTCAGCTCTAGCGCTTAGTGCGACACCAACGCCAGCAAGACCAGACGAAGATGCCACAGGGTCCCCGGATAAGCGCACGTAAAACAAGCTTTTCGAAGCGACAGATGGAGATCGAATTTGTAGTACTTCGCCAGAGTCTTGAATACGGGTCTCGGATAGACAACAACATCGATATTAAGACTTTCCAAAGACATAGCCAGCCCTATCTGTTGTCCGACCTGCATAAATGTGCGAACGTTGAAGGCAGCCAGTTTGAATGGTGCACGTGGTTTCAGAAAAACTGCTTCAGTACTCGTATTCGGTGGTAACATACAATTTTCAACCGGACAGTGACTCGAGAACGTTTAGATACAGTCGAATTTCCACCAAAGACGAGCCGCTGTATAAGTATAAAAGAGGGTGAATAATGTGGTTTGGGATCCGGTTAAAGCGCCGGACATTCGCTTTTCGTCCTCTCATTTTCGTAAACAACACCCCCGCCACGAGAAGGCAATGAGTAGGACTTCCCTGGCAGATGCTGTATACGCGTACCAGGATTTATTTTCATGAAATGTCAGCTGATGTTAAGGCACATGTTATATCCGGTGAAGATTAAATTACATGTAAATTCCAAGGACTATTCATGGACTAATATTCTATAAATATTCTTATTGTATAACTACTCAACAATTACACTATGTATATTTATATTCCTTTTATGATAAGCTTTATTTTGACCTATAACTTATTATTGTACGATCTACGGTTCTTAAGTTATGTTCAGTTTATTAACTACTGCCTCCCACATTCACAGCCACTTTTTGGGCTTATTTGTGCACAAATATTATTCCCTATTTTATGGTACGTTGCGGTCTGTGTGATTGATATATAAACCGAGTATGTTTGAAAATAAACGATCTGCTCTGATCTGCTCTGATTCGAAGCTGGTATTGTGTTCTGGACTCAAGTGGAAGGGCTCGGAGGACATAGGACCAATAAGGACGCTAAACTGCCCACACCGGTTGAACGTCATTGGTTGGCCTAGTGTGGAGATTCGTATAAGTCGTATTCGGATTGGTAGATAAGTCGTGTGATAGAAAAGTTAGACATCCAAGGTCATAACAGCACATAATTTTAATGCTGTTACATTGGATTATGGATATAACAATAACTGGGAATTTTAAAATAGTCGTGAACCATAAGCTTTTTCATGCAATTGGTTCCCTTTATGAATTTAAATAGAGCAAGAACAAACATTGATGCAGAATAGTATGAATTCATATTATTTCGAGGTTTCTCGTCAGCTACTTTTTGTCGAACGAGACTCTGAACTCTACGATAATAATGTCCAAATAATATGGAATAAATTAAGAGTATTTACTAGCACATAATGATGTCACGGAGATAAATGGATAAGCATGTGTACAATACGTGGTTGGACTGCAAACTAAAATAAACTATTTCGAATTTAGATGAAGCTACAAATATAAATTTTCATTGTACAGCGTGGTTTTTCGTCCATTTCTTGCAAATAAATCTTTTTCACTGATTACCCAAGACCAAATAGTTACTGTCATGACTTTGAAAAGTTTACAAGAAAAATATGGGTTCGGAAAAGAGTTAATAATCAAGAAATATACAAGTCAGTGGTCAAGATAAACTTGTTATGGTAAGATTAGAGTTATTTCC